CGGCTCGGCCCCCGGGACTGCGTGCCCGGGCCCCGCGGGGCCGGTGCTCGCCTGGAGGCGCGGCCCGAGGGTCCTAGCCGCGGCCGGGGAGGCGCCGGCAGGGCGCACACCGGCGCGGCCCACGGTACTCACGGCGGCGGGCTCCCGTGGGGGTCCCGGGCCCCCACAGGTTCGCATCCATCGGCTCGGGCCGTGGGGGGGGCTGGCGGCCGTCCAGCCCCGCGTGCTCCCCGCGGCCCCACGGTTCCTCGCGCGGCTCTTCCCCGCGCAGCCGAGACGCAGGAGGCTGCTGGTCCGCGCGGGCGCCCGGTGGAGGTAGAACTATTAATATTGCAGCTCATCTGCAGAGGATGACTCATCCGCTTTCCTTTCTGAAATATTTGTTCGCCATTGGCTAAAAAGAAAAAACAAAATCAGCTGCTCACTGCAAAAGGTGGGACTTTGTCGTCTCTGGTCTAGGCTGGAAAAGGGACAGAAGACTGGAGTCCTTAGGCGGGTGACCATCCTCTGCTCTACAGACAGCTCTACCTAGGCGTTGAAAGCTTACCTGTTTTAAATCAGAAGTGTGGAAACATTTTCCATATATGTGGGTCAACATTCTTGCTCTTTCCTTTAAACACAAAAGCTCACCATTCAAATTCAAGAAGCCCTGATGAGAATGTTGCACCAGAAACAAATTTAACGTATTTGGAGATCCAAGTAACCACAAATTATGTAGAATAAATCCTGAAGTTATTTATGCATTAAGTGTAGCAAAAGCTTAGCCCCAAGAAAGAATTCTGTAAGAAACTAAGTGTTTCAAACTTTTGGAGGTTGTGGCAAACATTTAACAGGGAAGAGAGACTTTCCTCTACTCTGCAGGGTTCTTCTGGCTGGTCAAAGAATTCAACTGACATGAGACAGATTAGCAGGAAAATATAAAATTTAATTAGTAATGATTTATTAATTCACGAGGAATTCACGTAAACACGAGAGCTTCTAAAGACAGGGAAAATGAGATTCCTATGTCATCCTGAAACCAAGGAGAAGGGGTAGGGGCCTGGGACTTCAAAGGGAAGAAAGCAATGTTTGCTGAGCCATCCAGAAACAATGGAACAGAGAGGACTTTGATTAGTTTGCTAGTTTCCTCCCTGTCCACCATAGCTAGGTCATATTCTACAGTAACTTGTGCGGTGATAGCTTCTTTCCTGGAACAGGTCTTCTGTCTTAAATCTTTTAGGCAGTTTGGGAGAAGAGGAAAGCTGTCAGAGTTTCTGAGTCTTTTCATCTTTGCTTGTTTACAGCTCAAAATAATCGTCCTGCCCAAGTGGCACATCTTGGAGTGGCAAATTTTGGTTCCCTACATAGATAACAATTTTATTTAGCATCTAATATGCAGAAGGCATTCTCCTGGGCATAGCAGCAGATAGAAAAGCTTTATGAACAAAACCATCTCCAGGGAACTCACATGCTTATATGCAGTTTTACTTTGCACAGCATCTAGTTTGGATGAAGCCTAGGATGTTGTCAATTGAGGTAATTTTTTTCTTTGATATATTTATATCAAAGATATATATATTTCTTTGATATATTTTTTCTTTGATATATTCCATAAAAGTCACTATATCTAAATGAGTGCATCGATGAGGTGTCACAAAACTAACGATGGAAAGGAGTCAACACTTTGGGGTCCTACTGTGCGCCAGGCACTTCGCATGTTTGATAATTTATTTAATCCTCAAAACAGTAAAATAAAAATTATCCTAACTTGAATTCTAAGTAAGCATTAAAATGTTAAAATTACTTGTCACAGGTCAAAAAGCTAGTATTCAGTGGAACAAAGATTAGGTTAAAATCCAGGTCCACATCAGAGCTCACGTTTCTACCATATATTCCTCTGATGAGGCTACTATAACAAAATACCACAAACTAGGTGGCTTAAACAATAGAAATTTATTGTCTCAGGTCTGGAGGCTCGAAGTCCAAGATCAAGGTGTTGTCAGGGTCATTTCCTTCTGAGAGCTGTGAGAGAGTCTATGCCTCTCCTAGCTTCTGGTGGTTCGCCAGCAATCTGGCATCCCTTGGCTTGTGGCAGCCGTAACTGCAGTCCTCACCTGGCATTCTCCCTGTGTGAGGATCTGTCTCCTCAATGGGCGTTCTTTCTCTACAGTCATATTAGATTAAGGGGTCCCTCTGCCGCCACCATGACTTCACCTTAATGAATTATATTTTTAACAACCCTTTTTCCAAATATGATGACATTCTTAGGTTCTGGGAGTTAGAACTTCCAACATAATGCATTTGGGGATTTGGGATACAATTCGGCCCATAACACACTGCCTCCTGAAATAAATTCTCCATGTAATTAAAAACAAACACACACAAAGCTAGTCTAAATTGTAGAAGGTTGTGACTGCAATCCTGGTATCCAATTACACAGTCCAATTACAGCAGAAGCTGTAGGAAGTACCCTTCCCATAAACCAAGTTTCTGCCTTCTCACCAGCCCACCCATGGAAGATGCACATGATTTACCCCCATCAGGAGAGAGCTGAAAAGGGGCACCTGGGTGGCTCAGTTAAGCATCAGATTTTTGATCTCAGTTCAGGTCTTGATCTCAGGGTCATGAGTCCAAGCCCCGTGTTAGGCTCTGTGCTGAGTGTGAAGCCTACTTAAAAAAAAAAAAAAAGAGCTGAATTTAATAAAATTCAATATAAGCATGGTTTGATAAGGTTGATAAGATTTGTTGGGTATTAGACCATGTGTTTAATCCTCGATTATTTTATTTGTGCCTCAAACACCTAGGTGTTTATGTTATACTGTATGAACTAGTTGAGTAATGTTACTTCATAATCATTATCAAATTGTTTCCTATATGTGTGTTACATGTGATATATATAATATTTTTTTATTGAGGAACACCATATTTAGCACTTCATTCAGATTTCTGCTCAAACATCACCACCTTGGGGATGTTTTCCTTATTTATTTTTAGATAGTTATTGTCCATCCCTTAACCGTACTTTATTTTTCTTTATGGTACTTATCACCTCTTGACATTATTTGTGTGTTTGTTTACTGTTTCCCCTACTCGAATGTAAATCCTAAGAGCAGTCATTTTTTTCTATCTTGTTCACTGTTACAGTCCCATGACTTGGAAAAGTGCTTGGGACATAGTATGCGCGCGTGCGCACACACACACACACACACGAAGTTTGCTAAAGGGTATTCTCGTAAATATATAGACTCCTCAATGGCAGAGGTCAAGTTTTCTAATTCCTTTTATCTATCAGATGCATGCAGTTCTGTACAAGAAAAAGGAGAAAACCATGATCAGCTGGAATATAATCACCTGAACAACTACTCAGTCCCTTTCTCCTACCCATACCTGCCCTCACTAGGATAGGAGGAAAGTTAATTCACAGTTCGTGGACCAAATGGTCCAGTCCACACCATGGAACTTCACCAGTACTGTTTTCCTGACCCAAGTCACCTGTCCCTCATCCATGACACTGTAAACAGGTACTGACCTGTTTCTCACTTCAAAACCTTAGTCTCTATATCAGGTCTCACCCAGTACATACTTGCCATATTTTCTCTACCTGAATAGAGCTTGTTACCTTGTGTGCTGTCCATGTGCTAAATGAAAAGGAACAGTTGTTCTAATCTCACAGTGAGTGTATTTTTGGTCTTCCAGCTGTTTTTAGGAATATGTTTGGTTCAAGTCAAGAAAAGTTTTCATGGGTTTTTTGTTTTTCAATTTGTACGTAATCTCTACACCCGATGTGGGGCTTGAACTTAGCACCCCAAGATCAAGAGTTACACAGTCCATCCACCGACTGAGCCAGCCAGGCACCACAGTTCTCATGGGTTTGAATAAAACAAATCGGCATTGTTCTCATCATGAAACCCAGATTCTTACAAAGTGAGGGAATTATTTGGGGTAAAAAATGTTAGGAAACTCTACTTAATGAACAACCGAACATGTACTATAAACCTGTTCCAAATGAGGTTAGAAAACTCTGTTGATCAAAAGTACATATAAATGAACAAATATCGTGAGTGGCTCTGTACCAGTCTCCAAGTCACATAGCTGATGTCCTTTTTTTCTTTATCAATACCACGTAATTTGTAACCCAAGAGCATTCACATTATTAAAATAGCAGTGCCCAGCCATTGACTGAGGCATTGTTATTTATGGGAAGAGGAACTCCAATATATTTAGCAAAGCAGCCAAAGGTAATAGAGCAAGACGCTGAGCTCTCTTTTTGTTAATATTAACTATGCAAGAAACCCAATACTCAAACAGCTCTACAGTGAACTTTGCTAAAAGGCAGAACTTAAAACCAAACAACTATATGATCTGGATAGGCCTAAACACTTCCAATGTAATATGGGCTCCCTTTGTTGTATGTTTTGAATTCTGCATCTCTTCGTGTCTATCAAGCTTATATGTAAAGATTTCCTGATAGGGACATGATTGCCCCCAGTATGATGTCATTACTTTGCATAACTTGACATCTTCAAAGTGAAAGTGATGGAATGCAAATACCGTGGTATGTTAGTAAGTCTGGAGTGTTTGGTCACATCATTCATCGTGTTATAAAAGGGAGCCAAAAAAAAAAAAAAAAAAAAAAGTACATCATCTCTGAACTTCAGTTTCTTCATTCAAGTAAGGATAACATCCTGTAGACTTTCTTAAGGATAAAGTGAAGTAATAGACATAAAAAGCACATAGCAGGGTGTCTAATGCAAATCTCCACTAGAAGGGAACATAAAGACCATATAACCTTCAATCACAGATAAAGGTGAGAAGGCCAGAGGTTGTAGTACAGCGTTACTCAGCAGCAAGCAGCGAAGCCCAGGTAGGGACTGAGGTCGTCCAAGATCAGGGGGCTTCCAATGCACCTGCAGTTGTCATTCAGTGGGCCGTGGACTCCTGTGGCTCCCCAAACCCTTCCAGGCTCCATTAGGGCACAATGAATTTCTGCCTCGTACTAGGATGTGAATTGCCTTTTTCACCCTCATGCTCTCCTGAGCACACAGCAGAGTTTTCCTAGAGACTATATGATGTGTGGTGACATCATTCTCTAAGGCTAATGGAATGTGTGCTTGTGCATTATTTAGCATTATTTAGCAAGTCCTGCTAGGACTTTCTAAGGTAGTAGACGTAAGGCTATGGTTCTCAAAGTGTGGCTCACGGGTCCCAGGGGATTTCCAAGACTTTTAAGAAGTCACAGACTTCTTATTATTTTCATAATAATACTAAAAGTTACTTAGCATTTACCAGTCACAGACTTCTTATTTTCATAACAATAAAAGTTATTTGACTTCTTATTTTCATAACAATAAAAGTTATTTGCCATTTTCACTGTGTTGATATTTACACTGATGGTGCAAAAGCAAGCTTTGGGGGAAGGATGGGAGATAAAACTAGTACCTTGTCACTTACCAAGACCATGCCACCAAACAGTACTAGTAGTCCCTGTATTCTTCATCACCATGCACATGCAGTAAAAAAAACAATTGCACTTACCAATGTCCCTGATGAAGCAGTAAAAAATATTAATTTTAATAATCTGAACTCTTCAGTATTTATCTAATACTCTATGTAACAAAACAGGGAGTACACATAAAGTACTTTTGTTACATCCTGAATTACAATAGTTGTCTTGAGGAAAAGCTCCTCTGAGAATGGGTTGCAGGCTGAACTTTTTTCATAGAACCCTATTTTTACCGGGAAGAATTGAGTAACATTAAGGTTACTAAAGCCAGGGTATTTGGCAGACATTTTGTTTCCTTTTTTTTTTTTTTTTAATTTTTTTACTCTTTATTTATTTTTGAGAGAGAGAGAGAGAGAGAGCGAGCACAAGTAGGGGAGGAACAGAGAGAGAGGGAGACACAGAATCCAAAGCAGGTTCCAGGCCCTGAGTTATCAGCACAGAGCCCAATGCAGGGTTTGAACTCAGGAACTGCGAGCTCATGACCTGAGCTGCAGTCAGACGCTTAACCAACTGAGCCACCCAGGTGCCCCCTCTGCAGACATTTTCTAAAAAAAAAACAACAAAACAAAACTAAGTGAACTTGTCACTACAAAGAAAATAACTGATAATATTTTTTTTGCCAAAAACAGATTTGAATAATCATGCTAAAATTCAACTTAAAAAAAAAAACATGTATCTGCCACCAAGGGCTTGACAGCTTCCCAATGCTTAAAGACTTTTCTGATGACATTGGTGATGATATTAACAAAGGTGATTGGTATGGAATAATGAAATGTGTCAACATTTGTAAGATCTGCTTAATTCAGTGAAGCAACATTTTCCAAGTGGCCCGATATTACAAAATTATGCATGGGAAAATATACATTCAAGTTTCAGTCAAAAGCAACAATGTTAATGTAGCAGAATATAAAATGTTCACTAATGTGGTTTCAGATTCCAAAGAACAAATATCCTTTAAAAAACCACTACTTGTGGTGTTTTGGTGTGTTATCAAAAAAGAACAACCATGATCATCTGAAAAGGTTAATAAAATACTTCCCAATTTTCCAGCATTATCTGTGTGAGGCAAGATTTTCTTTATATACTTCAGCCAATGCAATATGTAACAGCTGTCTCCTATTGTCAGACATCAAAGAGATTTGCAAAAATGTAAACAAAATCTCCCACAAACCTCTTCTGACATTTTTGTTTGGAAAACATAATTATTTTTTATTAAAATGTTATTTGTCTGTATGTGTTACATTTGTCATTAAGTGAATTAACAAATATTCAAATGAATTATATATTTTAATATATGTTTTAATATTTCTACTATAGTAAATACGGATAGATACAAACAGGAAAAGCTCTTTAAGTTTCTCAGTAAATTTTAAGACTATAAAAGGTCCTGAGACCAAAAAGTTTAAGGACTCCTGCACTGCAATTTGCTTAGCAGTAATTATTTCATGAAAAATCTTTCCGTATTTCAATAAAAATTATTTTAAATTTCACAGGCAGAGAGGAAGGAACCTCAGCTATGTAGACATTTTATAATTATTTTAAAATGGAAAATAATTTCACATGTAATCTGAATTATGATACTCCTGGGGTGCCTGGGTGGCTCAGCCTGTTGAGTATCTGATTCTTGATTTTGGCTCAGGTCATGAACCCAGGGTCGTGGAATCGAGCCGCGCCTTGTGCTCTGCACTGAGCATGGAGCCTGCTTCATATTTTCTCTTGCCCCTGCCCCTCTCCCTTGTGCACTCTAATAGTTTTTTAATACTCCTAATATATAACCATGCTTTATTCAATTCGAGTAAGTGAATGATTGTCACCTGATGGCAAATTTGGTCATTTTAATAATTTAAAATTTTTAACAGATAAAATGTTAACAGTTAACACATCAACAGATTTTACCATTGAATGGCAAATTAACCCTATCCAAGGGCAGAACGTCCCTTAACCTGCCTTGACCTCATCAACTTTGCTAAATGAACTTTCTTGGGGAAAGAAACACTTGTGAATGTATAGAAATTCCTCATTGGAGACAAACCCTTCAAAGACAGCAATAAGGTATGTGTGTAGGTGGGGGTGTATATAGCGTGGCGTGTGTGGTGTGGGTGTGATGTGCGTGGGGGGATGTGGAGTCTGGCAGTGTGATGTGGAGGGGGTGTGGTGTAAGTGGTGGGGTGGGGTGTTGGGTGTGTGTCGGGGGTCTGTGGGGTGTGATGCGGGGGGAATGTGTGGGGGTGAGGGCAGGGGGTGTGTGGGCGTAGGCTGGGTGTGATTTGAGGGGGTGTTGGGGGTGTGGGTTGTGACAGGGGAGCAATGGGGTGTGATGTGGGGGGATGCATGGGGATGAGGGCACGTGGGGTGTGCGTGCAGGCTGGGTGTGATTTGGGGGCTGTTGGGGGTGTGACTGGGGGGACTGCGTGGGAATGAGGGCACAGGGGTGCGGGTATGATTTGGGGGCTTGATGGGCGTGTGACATGCGGGGGCTGTGCGGTGAGATATGGGGGCGGGAATGCGTGGGTGTGATTCGGCTGATGTTGGGGGTGTGGGGTGTGACATGGGGGGGTGTCTGGGTGTGATTTCGGGGGTGTGGGGACGTCGGGGGTGGGTGTGCCGCGCAGCCTGCCGGACGAAAACACCAACAGGGACGTCGCGTCGGTCCCCATTCCCGCGGAATCCTTCCACCCTTGCTCTGGCCGGTCCTCGGCAAGCAGGACGCCCCACCCGCGGAGGCCTTCCGAAGTCTCGGCCCCGGAGGTCAGGTGACTGCGCAGAAGTAGGCGCACAGACGTCACGACGTCTCAGAGGGCGAACGTGCGGGGACCTCTGACTTCTAGGGGCCCCTGACGCAGCGCCCGGGGCGCGCCGACGGGCTGATGCGGTCGGGGCCACTCGCCCAGCCGTCCATCTCGGGGCACCGCCGTTAAAACTGCCCCGCAGCACAGCGGGCTCCTCACAGCGGCCGTCGGAGAGCGCCGGCAGCATTGGAACCAGGTCACCCGGCCAGAGGCCCCGCACGCGCCATCGCGCGACCCTGACGTCTGGCGCAGCCGGCGCGCGATTGGCTGGCGAGCATGTGGCGTGCCCTGGCGCGAGCGCTGATGGTTGGGCGCCCGGCGCCGAGGGGCGGGTCCCAGGTCTGGGGGCGGAGCCTGCGGGAGGGGAGCCCGGCCGAGCGAGCTTTCCCCGGCAGCCGGTGTCTGAGGTAGGCGACGGAGGTCTTGTGGGGTCCGGGGACCGAGGGGGACCGCGCCGCCCCGTCGCGCTACGTTCTCCGCGCGAAGCCGCTCCCGCTCTCCCTGGGGACTTTCCGTGGCGAGTAAAAGTTGAGGGAAGGCCCGGGAGCCGCCCGTCCAGCAGGGGCTGCGGAAGGCTGACCAGTGGGGCCCGGAGAGGGGGAGGAGGGCCGGGAGCCCCCGGGGGGAGGGGAGGGGAGCCCCGGGAGTGCGGAGGGGAGGACGACCGCGAGCCCCCTTGGAGGGGGAAGGCCCGCCGCGCGCCGTCGGCGGGGCCACGAGCCGCTCCGGGGACGTGGACTGACGGCAGGGGTCGGTGACCTGTGTTTGCGCCAGGGTCGCGGGCCAGGTCCGACGGACCGCCACCATGCCCGAGATAGACACCGACGGCCTGGACGAGCAGCAGGTGCAGCTGCTGGCGGAGATGTGCATCCTCATCGATGAGAATGACAATAAGATTGGGGCCGACACCAAGAAGAACTGTCACCTGAATGAGAACATAGAGAAAGGTGCTGTGTCCCAGCGCCCTCCCCTCGGTCAGGCTGGCCCAGGCGGCTCTCCGGGTCCGGACGTGTGGTTTCTAACCCTGTCGCGCGCCACCTGTGGTCTGGCCGCAGGGGAGCACCTGTCTCCCCCCCGCTGTCACAGCCCCGGGCCCCCGAGCTCAGTTTTCCCGACCAGGAGCAGCTCAGTTTTCCCCACCAGGAGCGTGGCCAGATCTGGCCACCTGCTCGCCTTCTTCTAACCGTGGTGGCTGGGATGTCATAGTCGTGCAAACTCACTAAATAGCAGGAGACTGTGGAAAAAAGCAAAAGTGGAGCAAGTTACTAGTATTCCGGATCCCAAGCTGAGAATGGGGCGAATGACTGGTATTTTCAAACTAAATTAATTGCTTCTCTTTGGCTTTCAGGATTATTGCATCGAGCTTTTAGTGTCTTCTTGTTCAACACTGAAAATAAGCTTCTGCTACAACAAAGATCAGATGCTAAAATCACCTTTCCAGGTGCCTGTGCTTTTAATAAAGTACAGTATTTTCTTGGGAACTGTCACTTGACTCTGTCACTCAGAATTTTCGGGAACCTGGGTCAAAGGGAAACCCTGTGAAAGACTTAACTTCATATTTTGCATAAAAGAAGCTTATGTATTGACTGCAACCTAATAAAAAGAGATAAAAATTGTTACATATATGTATGTATATTCATATACATCTTTTAATATATATTTTTTAAAGTTTGAGGGGCGCCTGGGTGGCTCAGTCGGTTAAGCGGCCGACTTCGGCTCAGGTCATGATCTCGCGGTCCGTGAGGGCTGTGAGTTCGAGCCCCGCATCGGGCTCTGTGCTGACAGCTCAGAGCCTGGAGCCTGTTTCAGATTCTGTGTCTCCCTCTCTCTGACCCTCCCCTGTTCATGCTCTGTCTCTCTCTGTCTCAAAAATAAATAAATGTTAAAAAAAAATTTTTAAAGTTTGAGAGAATGTGCATGTGGGGGAGGGGCAGAGAGAGATGGAGAGAGAGAATCCCAAGCGGGCTCCAAACTGTCAGTGTGGACTCCATCTCACAAATGGTCAGGTCATGACCTGAGCTGAAATCAAGAGTTGGATGCTTAACTGAGCGACCCAGGCACCCCTTAGTATATATTTTTATTATATGTATTTTAAGTTTGTATTTATACACTTTGATCTTTCTGGTTAAGAAGACATTAATCAAGAACTTACCTAAACATGTCTGTTTCACAAAATGATTGCTGATAGCTCATGATAACTTATTTAGAAAATCTCAGCCACTTGATTTTCTGTTGTTTTTAAAACTCATAAATTTTCTTGATCTTTTAGATTTACTTGGAAGAAAGTTAACCTACATCTATGTTAATATGTTCCAGGTTATTTTACCAATACTTGTTGTAGTCATCCATTAAGTAATCCAGGAGAGCTCGAAGAAAATGATGCAATTGGAGTAAGGCGAGCAGCACAGAGGCGTTTAAAGGCTGAATTAGGGATCCCCACGGAAGAGGTAACCAATTTTACTGCACTACCATACAAGCTGAAATCTTGTTTAGAAAATTGAAATACGTTAAAACATTTTTAATAAAGTTTTAAATTTAAGGTAGTTCTCTGCTTTGTGAACTTGTGAGTTACTGGCCCTAGGAAGCACCTTCATTACAAATTATTTAAATTTTGATTTCCTCATATTCCTTGTCAGAATTTAGCTCAGTGCTGAAGTACATTCATCCGTTAACCAGTATGTAAAGTTTATTAATGGAGTCACCTGGGTGGCTCAGTGGGTTAAGTATCTGGCTCTTGATTTGGTCTCAGCACATGATCTTGCAGTTGGTCAGTTTGAGTCCCGAATCGGGTTCCACGCTGACAGTTCAAAGCCCGCTTGGGATTGATTCTCTCTCTGCTCCTCCCCCACTTGCATGCACTCTCTTCTTTCAGAATAAATAAAGTTAAAAAAAAAATAAAGTTGGCTACTTTTATAACGGATGAGTTCAAAGGTAATTGGTTTCTTATGGAAATACTCAGGAATATGAACTACAAATCTGATTCTGTAAATTGAAATCATATTTTTCTTTCCTGGAATTGTCACCTTTAAATACCTGAGTAAATAAAGTATATCTCATCCAGTTAAAATGGTACTTTTTTCCCCAAGAAGTATTATTAAGGTGTGAAGGAGAATGTCACACATCTGGTTTGAGTGACTGTGCCTTTTTTTTTTTTAATATAATTTCAATAAAATCAACTGTTATTTTATTTTCATCCTAGGTTCCTCCAGAAGAAATTAATTATCTAACACGAATTCACTACAAGGCTCAATCAGATGGTATCTGGGGGGAACATGAAATTGATTACATTTTGTTTGTGAAGAAGAATGTAACTTTGAATCCAGATCCCAATGAGATTAAGAGCTATTGTTATGTGACAAAGGAAGAGCTAAAAGAACTTCTGAAAAAAGCAGCCAGTGGTGAAATTAAGATAACTCCATGGTTTCAAATTGTTGCGGAGGCTTTCCTCTTTAAGTGGTGGGATAACTTAAATCATTTGAGTCAGTTTGTTGACCATGACAAAATACACCGAATGTGAATTTCAGGTGGAGATGAAGGGTTAGTAAAATACTGAAAAATTTCTCTACTTTGTAAACTTAACATGATTTTTTAAAATTTGGTTCCCCGTAAGAACTCTCACTTGGAACACTGATACTTTACAATCAGTATTTGTGTGGAAAAATACAACCAACTTTTTGATTTTATATTACATCCCCCATATGTGTGCATTGCTATTTGTAAAAGACATTTATGAGAGGCTATCGTAAAAAAAACGGCAATTTAACTTGTCTAATCACAGTGCTAACATACTCGAACAAATAAATGAAGCTCTTCAGTTTTCATATGTTGTGATAAACATTGTCAGCACACTTGAGAGCACTTTGCTCTTTGCCAAATGCATTATAAATCATTAAATTTTTACCATAGTCTGGAAAAATGTACAGTGGGAACTCTTTGCTTAGCTACTTCAAAACAGTCCAAGTTAACATTCTGTGTGAGCAGATTTAACTAGTAGAGCAGATTCAAGGGAAATAAAATGGTATATGTCCTGATTTTTGTCACTCTAAGTTGATTTTAGGGATTAATCATTCTGAAAGTATTTTGATACTTAAAGTTGAACATTGCTTTTGGTAATGATATTGGTTACAACTATGCTTTCAGATGAAATCCTGCCATTTGCAGTAACATGGATGGAACTGGAAGGTATTATGCTGAGTGAAATAAGTCAGAGAAGGACAGATAAATGTTTTCACTCATACGTAGAACTTGAGAAACTTAACAGAAGACCATGGGGGAAGGGAAAGGGCAAACCACAAGAGACTCTTAAATACAGAGAACAAACTAAGGGTGGATGCAGGGGGTGGGGGGTTGTGAATGGGTGATGGGCAGTGAGGAGGGCACTTGTTGGGATGAGCATTGGGTGCTGTATGTAAGCCAATTTGACAAATTATATTAATAAAAAAATTTTTTAAAGTGTGCTTTCAGAATTACAGTGGACAGGGTTGCAGGTACCCCTGCAATTAGTCAAGCATACAACTCTTGATCTCAGAGTCATAAGTTCAAGGCCCACATTGGAAGTAAGAGTTTGTAGAATTGGAGTGGACAGGCTCTCTGTAAAGGAGAAACTGGGTCAGATCAGACATCCTATACTCTAAGACATCCTGTCTGTACTCTACAGGATGTCTTAACTTTGACACTTGACATTTGGGTTGGATAATTCTTCGTTGTGAGGGTTCATCCTGTGTGTCAGAGGATGTTTGGCAGCATCCCTGGGTTCTACCCACTAAAAGCTATTAACACCCCTGCCCGTGACAGTCACAATGACACCAGATGCCACTGTCTCCTGGAGGACAGTTTCCCCCAGTTGAAAGCCACTGTTCTACAGAGTCAGGCCATATTATAGGGGGAAAAAATTCATAGACTAATGTCCATGTTAAATAGATTTGGGTTATAGAATATGTATAAATTAATATTAAATTGTACTTTAATGCAGTTTCTAAAACTCTTGCCATAGATTTCTCAGATTTGGTATCTTAAGACGGCTGTCTTATCAAATGCTGTGTAATAATAAATAATGAAAAAGATGAAAAATTATTAAAGTTAAATATATATTTTTTAATATATATTTATTTTTGAGAGCGAGCAAGTTGGGGAGAAACAGAGAGAGAGGGAGACAGAATCTGAAGCAGGCTCCAGGCTCCAAGTTGTCAGCACAGAGCCCAACATGGGGTTCGAACCCACGAACCGTGAGATCATGACCTGACACAACCAACTGAGCTACCCAGGTGCCCCACAAAGCTAAATATTTTATAAATTCAGTAGAAAAATCCATTTCGTGTTAACCCTGAACAGTTAACTTAAAACTTCAGGCAAGACCATGTGGCAAGTATTAATTTTATTGAAAAACAAAAAATTACATTTTGATATTGTCTGGTTGGTTAAAATTTTAATGCCATAATAGATTAACCCACTTAGGTAGCTTAAATATGATGTCATATAGCTTCAAAATGCATTTATGATTTCTAGTTCTTTAGTTCTCTGGCAAGTTTTAGGCTGCCAGCCATGGGTAAGTAACTCAGTAGCTACAGTGGCTCGTGATGGCTGTATTGGACAGTAGATCTGAACATTCTGTAAATGCTCAGCAAGTGGTAGACATTGCTGCTGTTCTCTGAAACACAGAAGTATGAATGTTATTTGACCTGATGGACTCCTTACAACTCTCAGGTTTTTAAAGCCAATGAAACTTAAATTTAAAAAAACATTTGTAAGAAGTTTTCATTTATCTATTTTGAGAGAGAGAAAACATGAGCAGGGAAGGGGCAGAGAGAGAGGGAGAGAGAATCCCAAGCAGGCTCCGCACTGTCAGCACAGCCCAACACAGGGTTCAACCCCATGGACCGCAAGATCATGACCTGACCCGAAGTCACATGCTCAACCGACTGAGCCAGCTGCCCTGAGACATTTTTAAATTTTTATCCTAAACTTTAAAGTCCACAGTCTCCAAAATATATAACCGACAGCCCCTTTAAGGGTCAGAAGTAGTCTTCTATAAAATTGATTGTTCTGCTCTCAAACCTATATTGGCCAGAGAACGAGCAAAAAACAAGACACTAGGGTGGGAGCACGTGTTATTCTCCTGCTTGGTCCCCACAGAGTGGACAGGCACAGATGACAAGTCAAGTGGCTTTGGGAGCTCAGAGGCCTGTCAGCAAGTCCCTGGGCTGCACCTCACATAATTCTCAGGGGGAAACTGTCCTCCCATCTGCTCTCAAGAGCACACTTGCTGGACAGTTTCATTCCAATCTGGGGGACCTTCCCAGGGAATGGGGGACCCATGGGGTGTTTGTAGTATTTCAGAGCACCTCTTCCCCACTCTTCAGCTGGATCCTTCCTGGACTTCTCTCCAAACTTTCACCGAGTGAACTTGAGACTGGATTTGTGCGCATTTAAATATACAAAGAACTATGTTTTGCATACTTACCTTTAATCTACATGCGTTAGACTCCCAAATTTAAATCTCTATGGAATTCTATTTCATACTGAGATGGCCCGCTGTCTCTGTGACAATTCTATGTATTTATTTTAAAGATTTTAAGTAAGACGGTCCTGGACTGCGTCCTGACTGGCCTGGTTCTGCTCTTGCCTCCTGATACCTGTTCCCAACACAGCAGCCAGGGAGTGTGCCCTTTGACACTTGCTCAGCATGCAGCAGAGGAAACCCGTCAGTGGTTGCCCCCCACCCCGCCCATGACATGCCTGGCACCACTGTTCTCACAACTCCCCTTGCAGCCAGCTCTGCGCAGGCCCTGAGGCCCTCTCACTGCTCCTGCTCTCACTTAACATCTTTAAACAACTTCTTCCTGAGAAAATTTGTTTCCAGACATATCCATGACTCACGATTGTTCAAAACCACTCAATATTGGCCACATCAGTGACGCCTAATCTGACCATTACCCTCCTTTCCTGGTTTTTCTATCACTTACCACCCTGTAATATACAGCATGTAATTTACCTGTCCACCAGGGATGTGAGTTCTGTGACGGCAGGGGCTTATTATTTCTTCCAACTATTTTCAAATTTCAAACCTACTGAAAAATTGCAAGGACAATGTAACAAGTCCCCATATACCCTTGACAGATTTGTCAACTGTGAAGTTTGCCACACGCATGTGTGCTGAAACACTTACAATTTATCATAGATAAGATATCACAGAGGGGCAGAGGGAGGAGACAGAATCCAAAGCAGGCTCTGCGTCATCAGCACAGAGCCCGACGTGGGGCTCAAACCCACGAATCATGAGATCGTGACCCAGGCCGAAACCAAGAGTCGGATGCTTAACTAGTTAACTGAGCCACCCAGGCACCCCTAGGTTGATTTATTTTGAGAGAGAGAAAGAGGGCATGCATGCATGGGGGCGGGGCAGAGAGATAGGGAGAGAGAGAATCCCAAGCAGGCTCCATGCGGTCAGTGCAGACCCACGCACTGACTCACAAACCTCGAGATCATGACCTGAGCCGAAACCAAGAGTGAGACACTTAACCAATGGATCCACCCAGGGGCACCTTTGATTTGTTTTTAAATTGAGAGGCCAGGGGCACCTGGGTGGTTCTGTCAGTTAAGCGACTGACTTTGGCTCAGGTTATGATCTCATGGTTTGTGGATTCAAGCTCCACATCAAGCTCTTTGCTGACAGCTCAGCGCCTTGACTCTGCTTCAGATTCTGTGTCTCCCTGTCTGCCCTTCCCCTGCTCATGCTGTGTCTCTCAAAATAAACAAACATTTAAAACAAAAAAAAAAAAAAAAACTGATCTGGTTGTCTTTAAAAAAGAGGCCATATTAATGTATATGGGCTGCGTTTCTTTTTAAATTGTTAAACTAGAGGTGATTTTATTTAATCTGGGAAATAATTTGCCTTAAAGGCCTCCTGATCTGGATAGAGTTCAACTACATATAAATTCAGATGGAGAAATGTGGGATCTAATGTGGAGGCTAATTTTATTAACATTAGAGTTTTGTAAGGAGATATATATATATATATATATATATATCCTAATTTCTAGAGTAACAAGTACACTTTGTATTACTTTCAAATCAGTAGAGGGACTAATGTAAGATACAAAATATTTAAAAAGAAGGCAAGCAGGACAGCGATAAATATATACAAGGACAAATTAAAAGCACAAAATAAGAGTGCTTTTAAAATCAAGTCTGTCAAATATATGACAACTTTAAGATTTACTCTCTTAGCAACTTTCAAACATACAATGCAGCATTACTAGCTATGGTCACCATGCTGTCCATGGCATCCCCAGGATATCACCCACACCACACCCTCTGCCTCTGGCAACCACCGATCTGTTCTTGGTATCTATGAGCGTGGTGTTTATTTAGAGTCCACAGATAAGTGAGATCACACAGTATTTGTCTTTCTCTGTGTGGCTTTTTTTAAACTTAGCCCAATGTCCTCAAGTTCTGTCCAGGTTGTTGCAAATTGTATTCTTTTTTAATATCTGAGTAATAATCCATTTCATGTGTGTGTATTTATACACACACACACATATACATACTGTCAGCAGAGCCCAACATGGGGCTCAATCTCACAACCATGAGATCATGACCTGAGTTGAAATCAAGACTCGGACACTTAACTGACTGAGCCCCCAGGGACCCCGAACAGCGTGTTCTTTTTAAAAATGCACTCTGAGATTCTCTTCTTTTCTGACATTCTGTAATATTGCATATAGGGGTTTAATGGCATTAGCAGCTATAATGGAGTATTAAATATATGTCATCCAGCATTAAAATCCAAGCCTGTGATTTCTATTTTTGTTTTAAGTTTATTTATTTTGAGAGGTGGGGAGGGGCAGAGAAAGAGAGAGAAAAATCCCAAGCAGGCTTGACACCAGCAGCACAGAGCCTGATGTGGGGCTCAATCCCACAAACCGTGAGGTCACGACCTGAGCCCAAACCAAGAGTCAGATGCTTAATTGATTGAGCCACACAGGCACCCCTATCATTTCTATTCTTAATTTTACACTGAGCTGTGAGGCAAGTATACATTTCACCACCCTCCTTGGTGGATTAAGGGAAGGCTGCGTGTGGTTTTCTTAACCAGCCAGTTATTTCAGTATTTGGAAAAGTCCTCACTCAGAGAGTACAAGCAGGTGCAGGCATGCCTGCACGCTCACACTGAAGCCGTCATATACGGAGGGGCTCCAGGAGCTACTCAGCTCCCCCGCCAGGTTTCAAAGAGAACACGGTGCTTCTGTGGGTCCCTGTGACCCTGGATTTAAGGGTGGTGTTTCATGCCTTTCCTGTCCCTGCTTTAATGGTGTCCAAACCTTCTCCTTTAGACAAATGCCTTCTGGAGGCACTTGTACTGGGGGATCACTGGAATCTTTGATTCTGTAATTCCCACATATTTTCTAAAATCCTTTTTGGAATAAGGCAAGCTTAAAATTAAAGAGAACAAAACAAAAAAGGAGACCCAAACAGTGGTAATGATTCCTGAAGCCTGTTTTATCTTCACACTCCACTTGGGCACAGATGATGCTTTCCAGGGATTGCCAAAAGCCCGTGAACAATGGAAATCAGAAATGTTGGCGTGCTGTAAGTTTTCCATCATAGCGAAGTGCAAATTATAACACGTTCACCCATTCCACGTCATAACTTGGGCCGCTGGAAAGAACCTGGCTATGTGCCAGTAGTCACTCCTCAAGACTACGGCTAAGGATGGGTCCCCCCACGCGTAAGGGGGAAAAAAAACCAAGCAGAAGATTGGAGGCAACAGTGCCCAGCACCCCCGGGGACCCTGAAGAGCGCCTCGATCTGCCAGCCAGAACAGAAAGCCTCATGGTCCCCAGCAACGGGCAGATACTCACAAGTGTCCTGTCTTGGTGGAAGAGTTCGCCTGGATTTAGGACTGCTTGGTCTCACCCAACACATCCTGAAAGCAAGACCTGAAACGATCCAGCTTTCCAAACAGTTCAGCTGCACCCCAGCTGGAGTCTAGGGGTAACTACATGCAATCCAATATCGAAGTCCCAGTCCTGCCTTTCCTGGTCTTCATTCCGTGCTAATCCATGAGGTGAACAAATTCCACCACTGTCCTGGACTTGAGAAGATCAGCATGTATTTTGGCTTAACCTGCCGATGTGAGAATGTCTTAACTCACGCGGAACTCACGGAACACACGCGTGGCGCTGATGGCTGCACAAGCATGTGAATGTTCTTCGTGCCTCTGCACATACATTTGGAAACGGTGGGTTTTATGTGTATTTTACCACACACACAAAACAGAGGGAAAGAGGCTGAAACCCCGAGTTCTGAGAGCGTCAAGCAGAGAAAGGATCTTGAGGGTATGCTTTAAGTTAGGGTTACGTTGTTAAACGAATTAATAAGATTTAATTTCTTTTTGATAACTGTGGGAGAAGTCTGAGGCAGAGGTTGGAACAGGGACAGAAGTTCAGCACAAATAAAGTAACGTCAGATTTTCTAGGCGAGGGCAGAGCTCCCAAGTAGGCAGCCTGCAGCCAGCATGGAGGGTGCTTATAGGAGCCAGGGACAGGAACCGTGTCACCCAGACAACCAGACTCGCAGGTGTGCAGCTGGCTGGGCGGGGGACTCAGGCTCCCTCCGGCGAGGCAGGGGCTTGGGCCCCAGGTGACCGCAGAGCGCTTCTCTGAGGCTGCAAGGCCTGGACCAGAGGGCCAATTCTCGCCCCGCCAGAGGTCTTTGAAAGTTGCAGCTGTGGTGAACCGCCCCTCTCCTGGGGTTGCCTCCAGACGGAGTGACTGTAATTTACTGTCTCCATTCCTGTTGTCTTTCTCCAGATTTCCAGTTGTCTGTAGAACCCTTATGCAACAGAGGAAGCTCCCGGCACGCCACACGACCCCGTCCTTAAGGCTGCCCGGGCTTTTCTGCCCTGCTGGCATCCACAGCCACCTCCGGCCAGTCCCGTACCCCTTTGATTGTTGTAGCCTTGCGGCAAGTTGTGCACTCAACAAGTGCGAGTCCTCCACTTTTATTCTTTTTCAAGATTATCACGGCTATTCCTTGAGATTCCATATGAACCTTAGGATGGACTTTTTATTTCTATAAAAGCATGGCTGGGATTTTGGTAAGGGCTGCACTCAATCTGTCTACCACTGCGGGTGACATCATGTCCTCCGGCACAGGAACGCAAGAGGTCTTTCCAAGTTTGCCTTTGCATTTCTTTCAGCAATGTTTTATGCTTTTCTGTGTACACATCTTTCACCTCCTCGGTTAATTCCTAAAAAAAAAATTTTTATTTTTTTTCATGCTATTGTAAATGGAATTATTTTAATTTAGTTTCTGGGTTGTTCGTTGTTAGTGTATAGAAACATAACTGATCTTGCAGGCGCCTGGGTGGTTCAGTCAGTTGATTGTCCGACTCTTGATTTTAGCTGAGGTCATGATCTTGTGATTTGTGAGATCAAGCCCTTCATCGGGCTCTGTGCTGACAATGTGGAGCCTGCTTAGGATTCTGTCTCTCTGCCCCTCCTCTCTCTCTCAAAATAAACAAACATTAAAAGAAAACCTGATTTTTCAAAAATTTTTGTTATTTTGTTTTGAGAGAGAAAGTGGAGGAGGGGCAGAAAACGAGGGAGAGAGACAGAGAATCCCAAGCAGGCTCCGCATTGCCAGTGCAGAGCCCGACGTGGGTCTCGACCTCACAAACCATGAGATCATGACCTGAGCCAAAATCAAGAGTTGCATGTTAAACTGACTGAGCCGCCCAGGCACCCCTAAAACATAACTGATTTTTGTAGCTTGATTTTATATCCTGCAAAATTTGCTGAGGGTTTTTTTTGTGTGTGTACAAAACACTTAGGGTTCCCTACATATAAAATTGTATTGTCTGTGAACAGAGATGATTTAATTTTTCCTTCCCAATTTATATGCCTTTTTCTCGCCTACCTGCTTTGGCTAGGACTTCAGCACTGTTGAATAGGAGTGGCCAGAGAGGGTGTGCTTGCTTGTTCCTGATCTCAGAGAAAGTTTCAGTCTTTTGCGAGAGCATGATGTTGGCTGGGGTTTTCCAGAGATGGTGTTTATTACGCTGAAGTAGTTTCCTTTTATACTTAGTTTGAGTGCTTTTACCGTGAAAGGGTAATGAATTTTGTCAAATGCTCTTCCTGCAGCGACTGAGAGGGTCATGTGGTTCTTGTGTTTCATCATGTTAATGGGCTACATCAGTCACTTCTGCAGGTGGACCCATCCTTGACTCTTAGGAACTTCATATGATCGTGCTGCATCATCCTTACAATGTGCTGGTCACCTTGCAATGTGGTTGGCTAGCCTTTTGTAGAGGACTTTTGTGTCAATATTCATGAGGAATATTGGTCTCCAGTTTTCTTGTGGTGTCTCTGTCTGGCCTTGATGTCAGGGCAATACTGGCCTCATGCAAAGAGTTAGGATGTATATCCTCCTCTTCATTTTGGGGGAAAAGTTTAAGGACTGGTGTTAGTTGTTCTTTTACATATTTGGTAGAATTCACCAGTGAAGACACCTGGTCCAGTGTTTTTCTTTGCTGGGAGTTTTTGCTTTTTTAATGGTAAAAAACCCTTAAACATTAAATATACCATATTAATCCATTTTTAACTGTGTAATACCAGTTAAGCATATTCACATTGGTGTCCAACAAACCTCTAGAACCTTTACATCTTGCAAAACTGAAACTCTGTACCCAGTAAGCACTAATATCTCCTCCTCCCCTGGTTCCCACTCTTCAATTCCCTCTTGCTAGGATTTTGACTACTTTGGGTACTTCAAGGTGGACTCCAGGCATTTTGTCCTCTTGCAAATGGCTCCTCTCACTTGGCAGGGTCCTCATAGTCCATCCATACTTCACATGTGTTAGGGCTTCCTATCTTTTAAAGGCTGCACAATACTCCTCTGTGTGCATTTGCTATTTCCTGTATCCGTCCGTCCATCCATCCATCCGTCCATCCATCCGTCCGTCCATCCATCCATCCATCCATCCGTCCATCCGTCCATCCATCCATCCATCCACCCACGGACTTCTGCTTTCTGCTAGTGGCTACTGTAATTCTGCAAGAGACATGAGGTTGCATACCTCTTCGGGATCCTACTTCAAATTCCTTTGGGTTTATATCTAGAAGTGAGGTTGCTGGCTCATGATGATTCTAACTTTTGAGGAGCCTCCATACTGTTTTCCAGAGCGGTTGCACCAGTCTGCATTCCCACCAATGGTGCACAAGGGCTCCTTTCCTCCACAACCTTGCCAGCACCTGCTATTTCTTGAGTGTCTGTCCTAGTGGGAGTGAACTTGTAGTGGATTTCTCTATAGTACTGATTTTCTGCATCTTCTCATGTGCCTGGTTGGTTATTTGTGTATCTTCTTTGGATAACTGTTCCAAGTTTTCTGCCTTTTTTATTTTTGAAAGAGAGCATGAGCCAGGAAGTAGAGAGAGTAGAACAGAGGATCTGAAGCAGGCTCCACAGTGACAGCAGAGAGCCCGATGCAGGGCTTGAACTCATGAACCATGAGATCATGACCTGAGCCAAAGCTGGATGCTCAACTGACTGAGCCACCCAGGGGTCCCACCTTTTTTTTTTCTTTTTTAAATCCAAGTTAGTTAACATACAGTGTAGTAACGATTTCAAGAACAGAATTTAGTGGTTCATCGCTAACATATGACAGCCAGTGCTCCTCCCAGCAAGTGCCCTCCTTAATACCCATCACCCCTTTAGTCCATCCCCCAACCCAGCACCCCACCAGCAACCCTGTTTGTTCTCTGTGTTTAAGAGTCTCTTATGGTTTGTCTTCCTGTTTATATTTTTCCTTCCCTTCCCCTATGTTCATCTGTTTTGTTTCTTAAATTCCACACGAGTGAAATCATGTATCTGTCTTTCTCTGACTTGTTTTGCTTAACATAATACACTCTAGTTCCACCCACGTTATTGCAAATGGCAAGATTACATTCTTTTTGATCGCCTAGTAGTATTCCATTGTGTGTGTACACACACACACGCACACGTGTTTATCCATTCATCAGTTGATGCACATTTAGGCTCTTTCCATAATTTGGCTATTGTTGATTATTCTGCTATAAACATTAGGGTGCATGTGCCTTTGAATCACCATTTTTGTATCCTTTGGACAAATTCCTAGTAGTGCAACTGCTGGGTTGTAGGGTAGTTCTGTTTTTAACTTTTTGAGGAACCATCATACTGTTCTCCAGAATGGTGGCACTAGTTTGCATTCCCACCAGTAGGGCAAAAGAGTTCCCCTTTCTCCACATCCTCACCAACATCTGTTGTTGCTGGAGTTTGTTAATTTTAGCCATTCTGTCAGGTATGAGGTGATATCTCCTTGTGGTTTTGATTTGTATGTATTTCCCTGATGATGAGTGATGTCGAGCATCTTTTCATGTGTCTTTTGGCCATCTGGATGTCTTCTTTGGAAAAATGTCTATTCATGTCTTCTGCCCATTTCTTCACTGGATTGTTTTTTTGGGTGAGTTTGGTAAGTTCTTTACACATTTTGAATACTAACCCTTTATCTGATATGTAATTTGCAAATATCTTCTCCCATTCTGTTGGTTGCCTTTTAGTTTGTTGATTGTTTCCTTTCCTGTGTAGAAGCCTTTTATCTTGATGAGGTCCCAGTAGTTCATTCTTGTTTTTGTTTCCCTTGCCTCTGGAGACATGTCAAATAAGAAGTTGCTGCAGCCGAGGTCCTGTTTTCCCCTCTAGGAATTGGCTTCCTGTCTCACCTTTAGGTTTTTCATCCATTTTGAGTTTATTTTTGTATATGTTGTAAGAATGTGGTCCAGTTTCATTCTTCTGCACATTGCTGTCCAGTTTTCTTAACACCATTTGCTGAAGAAATGATCTTTGTCCATTCTATTATCTTTCCTGCTTTGTCAAAGATTACTTGGCCATATGTTTGTAGGTCCATTTCTGGGTTCTCTATTCTGTCCCATTGATCTGAGTGTCTGTTCTTGTGCCAGTACCATACTGTCTTGATGATTACAGCTTTTTAATACTTTTAAAGTCTGGAATTGTGATGCTTCCAGCTTTGGTTTTCTTTTTCAGGATTGTTTTGGCTATTTGGGGTCTTTTCTTTTGCTATACAAACGTTAGAATTGCTTTTTCTACCTCTGTGAAGAATGGTGTTATTTTGATAGAGATTGCATTGAATATGTAGATTGCTTTGGGTAGTATGGACATTTTAACGATATTCTTCCAATCCATGAACATGGAATGTTTTCCCATTTTTTTGTGTCTTCTTCAATTTCTTTCATAAGTTTTCTATAGTTTTCAGTGTATAGACTTTTCACCTCTTTGGTTAGGTTTCTTCCTAGGTATTTTATGGTTTTTGGTACACCTTTTTTTCCTTAAGTAGGCTCCATGCCCAGCATGGAGCTCAATGCAGGGCTTGAACTCAGGACCTGAGATCATGACCTGAGCCAAGATTAAGAGTCAGATACTTAACTGACTGAGCCACCCAGGCACCTCTTCTGCCCATTTTTTAATCAGATAGTTGTAGTTGGTTGTAGGAGTCTCTTAAATCTTCTGGATATTGGGGCGCCTGGGTGGCGCAGTCGGTTAAGCGTCCGACTTCAGCCAGGTCACGATCTCGCGGTCCGTGAGTTCGAGCCCTGCGTCGGACTCTGGGCTGATGGCTCAGAGCCTGGAGCCTGTTTCCGATTCTGTGTCTCCCTCTCTCTCTGCCCCTCCCCCGTTCATGCTCTGTCTCTCTCTGTCCGAAAAATAAATAAAACGTTGAAAAAAAAATTTAAATGTTCTGGATATTAATTTTATAAGATAAATACTTGCAAATGTTTTCTCCCATTTCCTAAAGCTATCTTTTCACTGTTATTTCCTTTGAAGCACAGAGATTTGACATCATCCCATCTATCTTTTTGTTTTTGTTACCTGCACTTTCCAGCTCCAGAATACTGGGGGCACCTTTTTCTTTCTTTCTTTTTTTTTTTTTTGCTGGTATTTCTATTTTGTTCATACTGCACTTTCCGGACTCTGTGCATGTTTTCCTTTAACTGAGTGTCTTTATGATGGTTGTTTTAAAGTTTTTGTCTGGAAAGTCCACCATCTCATCCTCCTAAGAGACAGCATTTTTTCCTTTAATGGGCCATATTCTACTTTCCTGCTTTTTTAAAGTATAACTTGTGATTTTGCTGACACCTGGACATTTGAATCTCATCATGTGGTCACTCTGGAAATCAGATACTCTCCCTTCACCAGAATGGCTGGATTTTTTTGATTGTTGTAAGGGTGTGCCATGCCAGCCAGAGG